TGAAAAAAAAAAAATTTAAAAAAAAAAAAAAGATGTCCAAGGAAAGGATACCACAAGAGTGTTTCTGTACATGTTTTAATGTCTCACAAATCTACTTAGCGGGATGGATTTCCTGAGGTCTAACCTAAATCCCTCCTGCTGTACTGGAAGCCCACCGTCGAAGTAAAATATCCATGCCTGTCCAGGTGGCTCAGTTGGTTAAGAGTCCAACTCTTGACTTTGGCTCAGGTCACGATCTCACGGGTCGTGCGTTCGAGCCCCGCATCGGGCTCTGCGCTGACAGTGTGTGGAGCCTGCTGGGAATTCTCTCTCTCCCTCTCTGTCTCTGCCCTTCCCCTGCTCATGCTCTCTCTCTTTCTCTCTCTCTCAAAATAAATAAATAAACTTTAAAAATAAAAGAAATAAAATATCCAGTAGCCAAATTCTCTTTAATCACCTTTCTGAGAAGTAAAACTCAAGTTGTCAAGTGACTCCTGCTTACTGTCTCCAGACTAACTCATCCTCATCGCCTCCTTTCACCTTTGTAGACAGTTGAACCTCCTCCTTCCAAGTTACACTCACGCTCCTTAAGCTCTTAAGCCTGTCCTGGGGCACCAAACTCTGGGAAGGGTTTAACTAGTACTACCTACACTTTACCCCCTCTTTTCCACGTCACAATTACTGACTTGTGCTCCACAGCTGCCCAGGTCTTAGGACTCACATGACTTTCTGACTCTCCGCTCTCTGTGCCAGACCTTTCCCTCTTCCCCTGTCACCCCCTAGTTTTTCAGTTTGGTGAGGCTGAGAGAGGAAGAATTGGGTCAGAGTCACAATGGCATCGATTGCCTCTGCTTTCCCTTCTTTTCTGGACTGGCTTTCCTCCCTCCCCACCCCCAACCTATTTTTAGCCTGCCTCTGTTTTCCTTCGTCTGGTTGGCAACCATGCTGGCCTCTTTCTCTCCGCTGCCCTTATCTCTCCCCTGCAGCCTGTGCAGACCCTAGCGGCCTTTCCAGAGGTCTCTTATTGCCTGCCCGATTTATTGCGATTTCCTTCCATCTTGAAGATACGTAGGGTCTGCCTGAAGGGGCATGCCTGGCCACGCTCAGGCTGGAGGGAAGCAGGGAGATAATGTAGGTGGGTCGGTTTTGGTAAATCCTTCCATGTTTCTAAAACCCTCAAGTTGTCCATCCCCACCCCCACCTTCAACAATGGTGTTTCCTCTCCTCTGTGCCCACGGACTCTTCATTGCCTACATCCCCTCCAGGACCCCATCCGAGCCCCAATACGAAGTGCTCGGATCCTCCCTCTTGGGCATTCTGGACCAGCTTCCTTTGGCTTTGGGGGTGGGCAGCACCCCTGGAGGTCCCCGTCTGCCTTCTTGGTCTGCACATGACCAGTCTCTTCTCCTGCGGCTCCTTTTTCTCTCCACTCCTTCCTGACCTCATCCCTCCCACACACACCCCTTCCTACCCCCCCACGCCCCCGCCCC